ATATAAAGAGAGTAGAACTTAAATATGAGCCAGGCGTCATCGAGTGCTTTTAATACACAACGCAATCGCTATTATAATCCCGTCTCCCGGATCCAATCGTTGATACAAAATCTGGACGCTGAACTGATAACATTATGCAAGCAATGTTCGCTGCCAAAGAATATATCGAATAGCAATAACCAATACGATAATATCATATCGCATCAAGCGGGCAGCCAGCTTAAGCATGCGAGTCTCAACAATATTTTGGCACAGGCGCGCTCTGCTCAGGGCAGTAACTCGACGGCTGGGCTAGCGCCGGATGCGCACAAGCGTCAGTTGCGCAATACCTATCGAACGCGCGTTATCGATGCTTATCGCAATCGCCGCATATTTACCGTTTACGGTAATTATCACACGGTGAGGCGAGCGCTGGTGAGACGAGGCTGGCTGGAGAAACTACCAGCAGGTCGGCATGCCAAGCTGCAGAATATGTCGGAGGACTCGCTGTTGGAGCATGCCAGACGTGGCAACGACTATGAAGCAGTGGTCATATCGAAAATGATCAATAATTTCCCCTCGTTCTTCATATGGCAGAGCAAGGCGCAGCGCGATTTGTTTCCGGAGGTGAAGCCGTACCGGAATCGCGTCAGACGTAGCCAATTCTTAGACTTCTCCACGAAAGTGGGTCTGGTCGGTTGTGCAGAGCAGGAGCGTTGGTTTCGAGAGGATGGCGTCTGCGGCATGAGCTATCCCCGTTTTTATCGCCTGGGCGCCAACAGCATGGAGGAGCGTGCGGCATTCATTGAAGATTATCATCAGACGCAGGCGCGCTGTTTGCTGCGGTTTATCAAGGAGCACCGTCCAGCCGAGTTGATCGATCTTGAGAATGGCACTGTGATGAGCATTACGATAGACTTTGCATTGAACAAAGTGAAGACAATGATCAGGCAGAAGGAGCATTACTCTCTGGATGATGCGCGCATCAAGCTGCCAACGCCCACCGAAATGATCGAGAATCAGTCGTTTATGGTACAATCCTCCAAGGTGCTCCATTCGGGTGCTAAATTCAAAATCAACGAGAAGGTCATGGCGGAGTATGCGCGTCTAGCTGGCCAATATCTAGAACAAATCGAATCGTTACGACTCGATTACCGCTGGGATGGTTGCCGTAATTTATGGATCTTGAAACCTGGTTATCAATCGCGCGGTATCGGAATTGTCATACGTAGCTCCCTGGACGACATCTTACAGTGGACATCCAATAATCAGAATCGCAAATATATCGTCCAAAAGTATATTGGTAAGTGTTATCCCAGGTCCACTCTTAGAAGCTTTCGATAGCAACATGCTTGAATTATTTATATATATTTGTCTATTATCGATAAAAATCGATAGTTTATAATTAATATAGTATCTGTTTCAGCTAGAGACTTTAAATTATATCACATCACTCATGCTGAAATGTTTTAATATTCTACTTTCTCTCTGATTATAGAACGTCCATATCTGATCTATCGCACCAAGTTCGATATACGGCAGTATATGCTGCTTACGATCAGCGATACACAGGTAACGATATGGACATATCGCGATTGCTATTTGCGGTTTAGCTCCCAGGAGTTCACAATGGATGACCTGCGCGAATCGATACACCTGACGAACAACTCAGTGCAGAAACGCTACAAGAACAAAGTGAATCGGGATGCGCGTCTGCCGAAGAACAATATGTGGTCGCTGGACCAATTCAAATGCCATTTGCGACACGTTGGGGCACCGGACGGTACATGGCAAAAAATCTACAATGGCTTCAAACAGAATCTGGTCGCAGTGGTCCTAGCCAGTCTGGATGAAACGGAATTGGTGCCGAATGCATTTGAATTATATGGCTGTGATTTTATGATCGATGAGCACTTTAATCCCATATTGATTGAGATTAATTCGACGCCAGATTTGTCGGCCTCAACGGAAGTGACGGCCAGAATATGTCCATTGGTACTAAAGGATTGCATCCGTGTCGTCCTGGATGTGCCCCGCAATTCCTTGGCCGCCACGGGTCTCTTCGAGCGCGCCTTTCAGGTCAATTATAATGTCAACAAGGAGGTAGATGGCACGCGCCCACTGGAGCTCAACGGCACCCAGATGAAACTGTTTGACAACTTGCCGAAGCTACGAAACAGCCCGAGGACACGACTGCTACGCAAAATCCTGAACAATGTCCGAGCGACGACTAGCAACAAATTTGGCAGGGAAAAAAACAAAACTGCGTCGCAGACACCAGCCAAAGTCATCGTGGGCAAAGTGGGCACGAAAGTAAGACAATAAACTTGTAACGTCTACATACCTATATAGAATTATACTTGAACACGATTTGAAAACAATATATTGGCTTGTGCAATGTCCGTCCGCCTGTCCATTAGTTCGTTTGTCAGTTTTAAAGCCATCGCTAGTGAAACTTGAGAGTTGGGATAGAGATAGTTAAGAGTTTTTCGTGAAAAGTTCCCAAATTGTATGCCTAATGGATTTCAATGAAATTTTTTATCATTTAGATGTTACATGATATGCATTATATTATATAGGTAGATAGGTAGATTAATATTACTGTCTTAGGGATTTATCAATTAAAATTGAAGTATTCAAGTTTTATTTAAATAGTTCAACTGCTGCATTCTAACTCATTTCATCTATATCTGACATTATTCCCATAGAAACTATCTCAAGCGAGCTCGAAGATGATGAGTACCAGCACGAAAGTAGCATTAAATTCGAAAGCTCGTGAGCATTTGGCCTTACAATATACAGCACCCAAGTGAGAAACGAAAGAGTCTGGTACGTATATAGCACCATCTTGATGTATAGCTACTAACCAATACATGTATGTACATAAATATATCGCAGAATTCGCATTGTTCATAGCCAAGTCAAGATTAACTTCACTGCAACCCCCAGAAAATATTCGAGCTGCTAACAATCGAGTTATAAGAAATACAAAAATTCAACAATAACTTATATAATAATTTATTGAACTGCTTTGAGATATCTATGAATACAATTCTTCCGGTCGCTAAAAGTCGCCTCTAGCTGATAAGCAAATTTTTTCAACAAGTAATAATAAAAGAAAGAGTAAATAACATAATACAAATCATATACAATAAACATAGTCTATGTAAAGTTATATTATTAAATTTCTTAAAGGAAGATCGATTAACCTCCTCACTGCTGAAAACATATATCCGAATGGGGAATTTAATTTGAACTAGCGTATGATATGTTTATTAATGAAGAGTTTTTATATTTGGAAGTATTTTTGGAATGGCAAGAGATCGTCTAATCTGCATTACATTTCAGTAAAATACAAAACTTAACTATAAACAACTAAAGCTTTATGTAGTGACTTTTATATAATTATTCAGGTAATTTCTGTTTAAATAGTTTTTAACGGAATTTGTATTTATTTTATATTTTTTATATTTTTTTTGAGTACTTTTTAGATATGAAAAATGTTTCTTGTTTGTTTAGGAATTTGAAACGAAAAATACCTCGAGCTCGAATATTCATATTCATAATAAGTATTCATAATGTAACTCCAACATATTTTGATAACAATTTTAAAGTGATTTTAGATTATTTAGATAGGAAGCTAAAAACATTTTATAAAATACAAATCTCAAACAAACTTTTATGTACAAAATAGTTAGCAGTTGATAGAAATTGAAATTCCTCGGATATTTAGATAAACGTTGGCTCAGTGGGTGGTTGATGGTGGTGGTGGTGGTGCTGGTGGTTTAACAAGTGGGCAGCACTGGCACCGTCAATTTGTTGGCCAGTGCAACGTTGCGTGGACTGATGGGAGGCGTGGAGTTTGTTTGGGTTTGGGATGGGGATGGGGATGGGGATGGGGATTGCGATTGGGATTGGGTGAGTTGAAGTTGCAGCTGCTCGCTGGAGGCCTGCTTCATGGCAGTCACGATGGGCTCGCCGCGATGCAGAGCCTGCACCGAGATGCTAATGGGCAGACGCGGTCCATACGAGCGGCGGCCAAAGGTGCGTCCGATGGCATGCAAGCTGGCCGAGCTCTCAATTTCCGACTTGGTGCGGGCGAAGCGACGCGAGCAATTGCTGTCCAGCAAATTGGGAGCTGCTCTCAAACGGGAGCAGCTCGTGGCAGTGTAGGTGTTCCCGTTGTTGTTGTTGTTGATGTTGCGCAGACTGCGCCACTTGCGCTCGCCCATGACTGGAGCCGTGGCCGGCGCACTGATGGGCTCCTGTTTCTCGAGCAGATTATCAGCCGCCTGATTGGCATAGTTCTTGATGAGTATCTTGAACTTCTTATCCGTGACCTCCAGCTGCTGATTGGCGAAGCGTGGACCGCAGCTGCGTTGGCGCTTCGGCTGCAAAGCGGTGCTGGCAGCTGCCTCAGCGCCAGCTCCTGTGCCCATTGTGCCGTTGCGCTTGTGGGTGACGCTTAGGAGCTGCGTAATGGAGCGACCCGCTTGCTTCAGCAAATACGGACAGGGTGTACCGATGCCAACTGCAGCTGTTGCTGTTGTTGTTGCTGCTGCAGTTGCTGTTGTTGCAGTTGTTGTTGTTGTTGGGGGTTTGACTGTTGAGGCATTCGAATTGCTTGCTGGCTGCGTGCTGCTAATGCTGCTCCGACTGCTGCTCAATGGCTCCACCATATACTTCTCCATATACTCCGTGGCATTGAATGTGGGCATGGCGCGATGGATGCGCGACAGCGTGGCAGCTGGCACAATGGCCGAACGTTGGCGAAACACGCTGCTGGTGGCCAGACTGCGCTCTTTGCGCTGCTGCTGATAGTAGTAGTGGCCATGGCCATGGCTCACCTTGTGCAGCAGCTGCTTACCCTTGACGAACAGATTCAGGCCCATGTAGGCGGGCGTGGGCGGCACCACCTGGCGATAGGCGAGCTCAAAGTTGCCCATGTCCGCCTTTGGATCCACGCGCCGATCGATGACAACTGAAAGTATAACAAAGATTTAAGAGCGGTCTGAGGTTATCCCGTTTTGGTTTATGCTTATCCGCTCGCACTGTTACCCAGAAAGTATTTGCCTCTCATTGTACAGTCTCTCTTTTTTTCAGTATATTCTTCTTCAGTCCCTCATCCAGTCTCTCATCTAGACTCTCATTCAGTCTCTCATACACTCCTTTATCGAGTCTCACTCTCACTCTCACTCCCACGCTCATTCTCACTCTCTGTCCCCGATTCCAACTCACCCTTGACTACATCCTCCAAGCACTTTGGACACATTCGAGCTGTCACGCTGGTCGTCGCTCCAAGATCTGGACTCGAATTGATTTCTATAAGCCAGGGATAGAAATTTTCGCATATCATAAAATCGGCGCCAAACAGCTCGAAAGTATTGGGTCTACGATCCATGTTCTCCTGCGATGCCAACATGGTGCCCACAATTGCCTTACGCATGCCCGGATATATGCGATCTAGCCACATATTCGACTTGCCGATCTGTCTGAGATACGCCTGAAACGAATAACAATCCCACATGTTCTCGCTGGGCAAGCGCTTGTCCCGCTTGCCGTTCGTATACTTCTTCTGTATCGCATAGTTCGTCAGATGCACCGATTCGTGATGGTTGCTCAGGCTGTATTCCTGCGAGCTGAAACGCAGATAGCTCTCCCGGTAGAACCAGACCACCAGCGGCTGGGTATTGGTTATCAGAAACCATTGGCGTATATCGAACTTGGTTTGGAAGACTATGAGAGGTCGTTCTTAAAGAGATGTGGGAAATATTTGTTTCGTTATTTATTTGATTATTTATTAGGTAGGTTTATGCAGAACTAAATCTGCTTAAACGGTATTCGAGTGTCTCCATTTCGATTGCAAGTTTGCTTTTAGCAACATAGGCGGATGGAAAGGATCTTACGAGCAATCCAAAGTGAGTTTAATTAGAAGAGTAAAACCTTTAGTAAGATGGAACCTCATTTCGCTTGGAAATAATCATTAAAAGATATCTTATCATGTAGCACTTTGCATTTAAAGAGATTATCTTATTATGCAACATACTTTTGAACCAGCCCAACTCTAGACCTTAAGAAATATGCCTTCTCACTTTGTTATTAGCTCTGTTTTCCCTATAATTCGCTGTTTGGCCTTCAACCTGTTGCTTCAACTCCTCATTTTATTGACAGCCCAAACATACATATAAGGCAATTTTCCAATACCAATCCAGAGCCTACAACAACAACAAGAACAAGAGCTGCTAGTAGCTGCGCTTTTAGGCCAATATTTTTATGTTGCATATATGTCTCTATATGTATATTTGTATATGCACACATATACATATATAGATGTAGTATATTTGTGTATGCGAAACATGTGCGTGCAATGCAGTCATGGGTAGAAAACTTGCTACGTTTACGCCCAACTGTTAAGGCATCAAAGCCACCAACAACAACAACAATGTCAGCGGCCTGATTTTTGACCCACTTTCTGACGATGTTTGTTTATAGCATTGCTTTTATTCCAGAAGAGCAGGAACTCATTTGCAAGTATGTTAAAGTATATGTAATTTTTTGTTGTTGACGAACTTTAAATATAATCTATGAAATGAGCCGTCAAATTGAACTGAATTGTGTATACCCTGTGCTTTGTTAGGCAGCATGAATGGGGTAGTGCTGGCTATATTAAATATATGTTTAGAAATTACAGGGTATATATGAGTTTATCTTTATAACACTTCTCTCATGATTTTTTTAATAATTGCTCTAGCCTCTCTATTTAACGGTCAATCTCAGCTCCCTACAGGGTATACCCTGGTATATTTCATATATAAGTCCGAGTTCTCCACCTCCTCCTTCTCCTTATCCACTTACCTATATACTTCTGCACGACATAGCGACTCTTAGATGCTATCGAGGGATTAACGACGCCCAAGATCTTCTTAAGATTATCCATAAGGAGTATGCCACGCCCCCGACACTTGTTGGCCGGCTTCACGATCCACAAATTCTGATAGCCATCCAGGCTGTACTGGGGCCAGTGCACCTTCATCTTCTCAACCAGAGTCACACAGCTCTTGACCATGTGGTCGAGCGTGCGCTGTCCGTCGTGCTGGATGCGTCCATCCTCGTTGACCAGCTGCTGGTGCTGGTAGAGGAAGGCATCCCAGTCGTGCTCCCATATCTTGGGCGGATCCTCAAAGTCGATATCGTTGTGCTGGCAGCTATCGATGTAGTCCACCAGCCGCTTGTAGGCGAAGTCTATGGAGGAATAGGGTATCTTGCCGCTGGGCGAGAATACCGCATCCGAGCCCTGCTTGTGGTACTTGCAGAGCATGGCCCGCAAGTAGGCCACACAGGCCGTCAGCTTGAAGTTGTCCACGAACTCGCCCAGCTCCTCGGGACTCCAGACATTGTAGCAGCGCGGAAAATACATCTCGGCCATGCCCTCCTCGAAGAACCAGTGGAAGTCCCGCAGCTGGCTGCACAGACCCTCCTTCGAGGTGAACGGCGCCCGATGGAATTTATTGATGGTCATGCCCGGATTCTTGGCCTGATCAATGTAATCGCATTTCTCCTTTCGGTTCGTCCACAGAAAGTCCACGGGCATATGCTCCAGAAATCTCGACATTATGTTCCTTTCACATTTCAGCACATATTGACGCCGCGTCTCGCCCGCCTTGCGCTTGGGCAGACGCTGCGTAAGATCCTCGTAGGTCATCTGGCCCAGGGGCAGCACCTTGCGATGCACGTCCAACTTCTCGACCCATCCGCGGGCGAGCAGAGCATTGCGCACCGAGTGAAAGCAGCCGCGGATGGTGAAAATCTTGTTCTGCTTCGCCGCCTCCTGCGCTTTGCGTCGCAGCTCGTTCATGCGATCCGTTGTTATCCAGGTGCGACGTGCTATATAATTTGTGGGCGCACCTTGTACTTTGCAGTTCTCCTTGTTGTTGTTGTTGTTGTTGTCGGGCTTCTCAATTGCCCTGGGCGTGGGTGTGGGCGTGGGCGTGGGCGTTGCAGGAGCTGCGGGCGCTGCTGCTGGCGTCAGCTCTATGCTGGGCACTGTGACAGCTGTGGGCGTGGCTGTGGATATGGCCATGGCCAGCCTATTGCACAACCTCGCACTGGAGCACTTCTTATTATGCTGCTCCTGGCCAGCGCCAGAGCCAGCCTCGACAACTCCAGCGGCGGCCTTAATGCCCGCATTTGGTTCACTGCTCGGGCGCGTTTGCTTCTGCAGCAACTCGCGCATAGCCAACGACTGAGGAATTCCTCGAAAGAAAACAAAGTGAACGCAACGCGAATCGGTGACTGACTGACTAACTGACAGAAAACCGTTCGAGACTGGGCCACTGGGTAATTGCTGTCTCTTTCACACGCTCTCTCACTCTCACTCTCACTCTCACTCTCACTCTCTCGTTCTGTTTGTCTGTTAATTTTGGGCGGTCGGAGCGGGGCGGAGTTGGTGACTGCCTGGCAACCATGTTGAAGCCAGTTGAGTTTCGGCTCCAACGACTCTATTAATAGACTGTGCAAGCGAGAGCCAAGGAGTTGCTGCCAGCTGCTCTCACAGTACAAGGGAGATTGTGTTGGGGGTGGGGGGAAGAGGAAGCAAGCAGTGTGTGTGGGAGACGAAGCGCAGTGAAGCGCGTCTTAGCATAAAAGTGCTCAGCTGAGTTTCCATTGGATTAGGTCGACTGCAGCGAAAGGTTTGACTGAGCCTAGGTCAATAAAATATGAATTGAGGAACATCTAGAAGAAAATGAAAAATATATGTATGTACATATGTACATATATATACATTTAAGAAATTCAATGAAATTAATGAAGGAACTGGGTCTAATTTGAATAGAAAATTTTACAATTGTTGGAAGTAATTTAAAACCATATTTTATGCATTTTTGGCATAGCTTATTATTATAATTATTATTTTTTTTTTAAATAATATA